CCGGTTCGTTCCAGGCTGGGCAGGCAGGGTCCCCGGGAGCGGGCACAGGCGGTGCCCCCCCCTCTCCGTTTCTCCAGGCAGCAGCAGTGGTGCTGAGGCAGGTTCAGGTGCTGCAGCGGGGTCTGTCCCAAGCAGAGAGCGAGCAGAGAGCAGCAGAGCAGATCCTACTCTCTTCTTATGGATCAGAGACCATTGCTCCAGAAAGCACCACTGTCTGAATTAGCCAATCACCATTGGCCAGGTACATATTCTGTTAGAGGCAGTCTTTAACCCATTGTCTATTTTTCTGCCAGTTATTATAACCCTTGTGCTGCTTCTTTGCTCTGCACTTATCTGGTAGGGCAAGAGGCTCATTCTGCCCTTGAGTGAATCAGTGGAAAGGTGTCACTCTTGTTTTGCTGACTTGAAAGGCATTTGTTGTTTAGTCTTATGTGGGGGGAAGAAGATGGACCGTTCCCCACAGTGATCCTCCTCTTTGGCTTCAGAGAGAAGAGGGAATAAATTGTACTTTAGATTTCTGAGTGGCTTCATATGCAAAAACCTTCCTTTCCAGGAAAGACTGATCTCTTTGTAAGAAAGGAAATCAGCTTTTCTCAGTTTCTGAAGGTGTCCTGGTGGCTCAAACCAGGAGAGGAGGATTTTACTTCTGGTGCCACATTGAATGTTTTTCCAGAGTGAGTTTAGAAGGAGAAAAGCTGCAATTCCTGACAGGTAACTCGGGGCAATGAGTCACCTGGTGGCAGCTTATTATCTACAGATGGAGAGACAGACTTGTCCAGAGCTGAGACCTTAGCTCAGACATCTCTCTTAGGTGGGGAAGGGCCAGGCTGGTTACGTGGACTGAGCACCGAAACTCTGGACAGCCAAGGTTGAGCAAGATGACACTCTAGTCTGTCAAACAGCCCTGTCCAGCTTCTGGGCTCCAAGCAGAGCATTGCAAACTACTTACCTTGACAGCAGTATCTTCAGCAATGGGCTGGTCTCATCAGCTGGTGTTGACTTTGCTGTCCTCCCACTCAGGCTCTTCAGGGCTGCACAACTTGGTGTGTCACCAGCTCCCAGCAAGAACATGGTGATGGGCCTGGTACCTTTCTGGGAGGGCCCCTGGTTGCAGCCCCTTGCTGGTTGCTGTGGTGGGTTGGCCCTGGCTGGATGCCAGGTGTCCACCAAGCTGCTCCATCCCTCCAACTCTTCATCTGGACAAGAGAAGAGAAAATACAAGGAAAAGCTCATGGGTCAAGAGAAGGACAGGGAGGTCACTCTGCAGTTACCATCCTGGGCAAACCAGATTCAATTCCACTTATTACTAATCAAGTCAGAGTAGGATAATAAGAAAGAAAAGCAAATCACCTTCCCTCCACCTCTGCCTTCTTCCCGGGCTCAACTTCACTCCCAGCTTCTCCATCTCCCCCCCTGCAGTGTGGGGGAACAGGGAATGAGGGTTGTTGTTGGTTCCTCACACCTTGTCTCTGCTGCTCCTTCCTCCTCAGGAGGTGGGGACTCCTCACACTGCCCCTGCCCCAGCGTGGGGTCCCTCCCACAGGAGGGTCCTTCACAGACTTCTCCAGCTGCTCCAGTGGGAGTCCCCCATGGGGTCACAAGTCCTGCCAGCAAATGTGCTCCAGCCTGGGCTTCCCACAAGGTCACAACCTCCTTCAGGCATTCCTTGCTCTGGTCTGGATTCCCCCATGTGCTGTGGGGGCCAGCCTGCCTCACCATGGTCGTCACCATGGGCTGCAGGAGAATCCTTGCTCCAGAGCCTGGGGTGTGCACTGCCAAGTGGGTGACACACATTTCCAAGCCAACACCATTTTCTTCCTTTGTGAGGAACCCAGGGAGGGAGCTGAAGCCAACGGGTTGTGATGGATGGAAAAGCACTAGTTAAAACTAGATGTGCTTTTTCCTTTGCCTTGTTCCCTCCCCACAAGGAAGGGGAAGAGGCAAATGAGGACCATGCTGTGCACCTGGAAGCTCATCAGCTTTTCCTGGTTAGATACAACCCAACTTACCTCCATCTGCCCTAGTGGCCAAAAGAGCCAATGGTATCTTGGGATGTATTAAGAACAGCGTGGCCAGCAGGTCAAGGGGATTCTCCCCCTCCTGTACTCTGCCCTGGTGAGACCTCACCCGGAGTGTTGTACCCAGTTCTGGGCTCCCCAGTTCCAGAGGGACAGGGATTGACTGGAAAGAGTCCAATGGAGGCTGCGAGGATGATGAAGGGACTGGAACATCTGTCTGATGAGGAAAGGCTGAGGGACGTGGGGTGGTTTAGCCTTGAGAAGACTAAGATAGGACCTGATTCGTGTCTATAAATATATGCAGGGTGCTTGTCAAGAGCAGGCCAGTCTCTGTTCAGTGGTGCCTGTGACAGGACGAGGGGAAACGGCACCAAGTGACAGCACAGGAAGTTACACCTCAACATGAGGAGAAACTTCTTTCCTGTGAGGGTGCTTGTGACACTCAGGATGTACAGTGCTTGTCTTGAACAATCCAAGAGATAAGTGATGTACTTAGACACTCAGGATTATCTGTTGTCTGTCTTGAAATGGACTAAAGAGATGTCTCAGCAACCCACCAAACTGTTCTGTGTACCTGACAACTGGGGAGTTCAGTGTGGGATGTGCTGAGACTGGAGACAAAGGAGTCCTGCAGCTGGTGCTGGGAGCAGAATATCCAGTGATAACCAGGCCTTGAGATTTCATGAAAACCACTGACTTAGCAGGAAAAGATAAAGAGTGACAGTCTCAAACTGTCTCCTAGGACCGAACCTCCACTGCAATAAACTAACCCTGTGGTGCCAGTTGTCTCACCCTCCTGTTCTACAATGGCTGATCTCATTAATTAGCCAAACAAAGACTGTCTGCAGGACACAGCCCCAGCACCATAACCACCCCTCCTAACTCGGAGGGGCATGGAAAAGGTAGAAGGATTTTCTCACCTGTTCAGGGAGAAAAGTGAGGGTGCAGTGGGAAGATGAGGATGGAGATAACAACCCCCCATCATCCAGGAGCAGAAGCTACTGCTTTCCCCCCAGCACCTACCTGCCCAGCCAGCCCTGTCCCTTACCTGAGCAAGTGTTGTGTCTGCACAGGCTTTCCGGGCATCCTGGAGAAGAGACAAGGGCAGAAGAGACAGAAAAAAGCCATCTGAGTAAGGCACTGGCACATGAAATTCAGTGGCATACCTGAGAGCCTGAGAGCTGCTACGAGTGGGAACTGTGGCTTTGCTGTGTTTGGGTTGTGGCCAGCACAGGGGGATCCTGCTCTGTTACCAGTCACACCTCAGAAAAGCCAGCCAGAAGCTCCTCAGCACCCAGCTGCCCATGCTACACCCTTCCCACGGATCCTCCCACCTGGCAGAACACCAGTTGCCTCCCTGGGGACTCTCTTTGCTCCCCTGCAGACACAATGTTGTGGCCAGTTCTTTCTCACCATTGTAGCGTCCCCTCCTCTCCCCCTTCCTCTTCCCCTCTGCCAAACTGTGACATCCCCCCACCACGCTTAGAAAATCTCCATCAGCACTTAAGGGGCTGTGCAGAACTGCAGAGGGCTCTAAAGATGCAGAAAAAGTTCAGCTCCAAGTTGTGACTGAGGAGAGGGGCACAGGGGGTGGCCCCCCTTCCAGCCATCTCAGGGCTGTTGCCAGCATTACCGCAATCTGCTTCTTCAGCTGCTCAGCCTCCTGCTTCATCTGTTCCATCTCCCCCATCCTTCTGACCTAAAAGGTTGCTACTCCACGCGGGGCAGCCTTGATTCTGGGGAAGCAAATCAAAGGAGAGAGGTGTCAGGTAAACGAGGCACTAGTACACCTGCTCAGTTATGCAAAGATAGGCACCTCTGAGACAGGCCCAGCAAGAATTTCTTGAGTATTCAGAATTATTTCTTTACTGTGTTCAGTTCTGGGCCTTCCACTACAAGAAGGACATTGAGTTGTTGGAGTGTGTCCAGAGAAGGGCAACCAAGCTGGTGAAGGGTCTGGAGCACAAGTCCTATGAGGAGAGGCTGAGGGAACTGGGGTTGTCTAGTTTGCAGAAGAGGAGGGTGAGGGGAGACCTCATTGCTCCCTACAGCTACCTAAAAGGAGGTTGTAGGGAGGTGGGTGTCGGGCTCTTCTCCCAAGTGAGTAATGACAGGACCAGAGGAAATCACCTCAAGTTGTGCCAGGGGAAGGTTAGATTGGATATTGGGAAGAATTTCTTCACTGAAATAGTAGTTGGACAGTGGAACAGCTGCCCAGGGAGGTGGTGGAGTCACCATCCTTGGAGATATTCAAAATACATGTAGATGTGGCACTTCAGGGCATGATCTAGTGGCAACCCAGCAAACCCAACAGCAGCCCCAGGAAGGGCAGTGTCCTGGTTTGAGCCAGGATGAAGCCCATTTTCTTTTTTACTGATTTTTTTTTCCTTTAGTGAGCTTTCTTTTAATGAGCAACACTGTGTTCTAGCTAGAGCTGATAAGACACTGGAATGTGTCTCTAACTGCTGGGGCTTCAAGGTCACAGCTTCGCTCTGCCGGCTCAGACACTGCAGGGAGATCTGTGACCCCCCGTAGGAGGCTGAGTTAGACAGACAGCAAAACTGGCCAGAGAGATTCCATTCCATATATCTATATAAACTCAGAGGAAGGTCAGAGATCACAGAAGACAACTTCCTTCCTGCTTCTTCTTCCCTTCTCCTCCACCCATGGCCAGTGTCCACACAGGACTCCGTCCATCCCTCCCCGGGGACCCCCAGGCTCCAGCTCTCCTGACCCTCCTCACTCTGTGCTCTCTCCAGCAGCAACTCCAGAATTTCTTGGGACTCTCTCAGCTCAGGAGATGCTGTGGGAGTTGCTGGGGTGGGGGGAGGCGAGAGGCTTTTGCTCATACCTGAACACATTTGTATATATTTGCATATATTTTCTTATATCATTCATTAGTGTTTAATTAAAGCTGTGTAGTTTAATTTTCAATCCAGCCAAGTCTCTCTCTTTTTCTCTCTCTCCTTCCCTACCTGGGTGGGAGGGGGAGGGGATGGAGAGCGTTGTTGTCGGACCCGAGTCAAACTGTGACAGGGAGGGTTGTTCCCTTGTTGTTTGCTAACCCTGGATGATGTCCAGAAATGCTCCTTCTCCACTGATCCTGTGGATGTTCATTCGTATTGAGGAGACACTGTTCATTCCTGGGAGTTTCCTGCAGAAAGTCAAGTTAAGGGCTGGTTGTTGGAAAGTGTCACATACCCACCTGCACCTCCAGCATGAACAGAAAAGAGGGCAACGTGTAAAAACAGATTAAAGGAAACTGAAAGCCTGACTTGTCCTGCAGTTGTGTTTCCATGTCCACACTGGGTTGAAGTGCTGGAGGGGCTGTGGCAGAGGGACAGCTGGAGGTGTGTGGGACTGGTCCTCTCTGAGCTGGGATGGGATGGCCCAGATCAACAGATGCCAGATGTATCTCACAAAGGGCTGCATAGACATGTCTGGCCATCAAACTGCTTGTTTTCAACATTAAATCTTCTGATTTATGGGTCTATTTATTTTTTTTCAGACTTGAGGAAGACTCAGAGAGGCCAAAGCCTCTTTTTTCCTCTTCAGTCAAGGTATTAACTGCCTGAACAAGCCCCACCCCTGCTGATTGCACATGGACTTGCTGAAATTCCCACAGGTGAGCTGCCTGTTACAACACCTACTACATCTTATTTTACAGGCTTAGTTGGACTGTACATCTCTCCCATACATTTAACTTATTCATTCTCTATATGTTAGACAGTTGTTCTGGAGTCCAAGTGCACCTGTGTCCTACCAGCAAACATCTGAGGTTGCACTTCCTGAGCCACTAATAGAGTTTTATTTGCATACAGGATGTCCCTGGATGGAAGAGACCTCCAAGATCACCCAGTCCAGCCTTAGACCTAACACCACAAGATCCCCACTGACCATGTCCCTAAGCACCAGGTCCACATGCTGTGTAAATGCCTCCAGAGATGGTGACTCCATCACCAGCCTGGGCAATCTACTCAATGCCTGACAACCCTTGCAGTGAAGACTTCCTTCCTCATATCCAACCCAACCCACCCCTGGTGCAGCTTGCATCCATTCCCTCTGCTCATACCACAGGTCACCAGGGAGAAGAGCCTGTCCTATGAGTACTCCAGTACCCCTTCAGGTACCTCTTACTGTGCAAAGCCCCAGACGACACTGCCATCTCGTTGGATCTTGACAAGTGTTCTCTGCAACCACTGGGTTTTGGGGATCAAAAATGAGGGTAAAATGGGGGTTTCTTCTGGCTCTTTTGTGACCTGAAGTACAACCTGCTTTCCAGTGCTCTGTGCTGCCAAGGATGCTGAGAAGGGGAGGGGGACAAGCTTGTCCTCCCACCAGGGACTGCAGCTCCTCTCCCCATGGTCACAGCTTCTTGTGGGTGCAGTTTTGTCTCTGTGAGACAAACTCCTGTTTCACTTTAGAATTAATTTGTTCCCCTTGATGCTGAAGCTTTGTTTGATTGATGATGTTCCCACTGATGCTGAGTTTGCAGGGAGCTGAGCAGGGACTGCCATGGCAGGGATGCAGCAGCCTGACCCTCTGCTGTGACTCCAGGTGGGTGTTAAGTGTCCAGCATCTCACCAGGACTGTCAGAGGGGCCTGCATGGACACATGGATCCCTGAGCTGCTCTGTCTCTTTGGGACTCCCCCAGGGTCAACCTGCAGGGAAATGCTGCTGCCTGTAGCTGCAGCTGCCCTCATTCTCCACCCCAATTCTCTCCTCTCTGGGCGTAAGGAGCAAAGGGGTCTCCCCAAAACTATGTTCCCACACAAATAATCCTTCACTGGACATGCCTCCCAGGAGCCCACACTGCCTTCTCCTTCTTGGAGGAAGGGGCTGCCCCTGGCTTGGAAATATGCAGAATTATTGAATGAGGAAGGTTTGCAGGGCAGGCTGGGATGGTCATTCCCTCAGCTGAGGCCACCCTGCCACGCCAGAGCCCCTGGTGGTCCAGCTCCCCCAGGAGATGGGTGGTCCTGGGGACACTGGGGCCATGATCTGTGAGGGGCTCTGCTCCCTTCTCCCTGGCATGGGCTGCATTGGCCAGGCTGCTCTGGGTGCCCCTGCAGCCTCCAGGGTGGCCCAGATCCATCCTGAGCCACATGCTCATGTTTTCTTCTTCAGCAGCAGATGCAGCTCAGGACATTCCTGCATCACCCCAAAGCCTCCCCTAGGATCTTAGGGCTAAAAAGAAAAAGGTTTCTACCCTCCTCCAGGCCATGAACAAACCAGCTCAGGAAACTCCTGGGGGTGTTTGGTGGCACTGGCTGAGCCTGAGTGTTTGGTGCCTCGTGGCAGCCCTGCTGGGGCTGGGGTGGCTGCTGGGGTCTGGGACTGGGGGGCCAGGGTGGGTGAGGGATCCTTCTGAGCAGAAGCCTCCCAGCTCCACCTCCTGGTGCCAGGTGGGCCCTGAAGGCTGGGTCCTTGCAGGGCTGGGGTGATTCTGCCTGGTCACCCCGACCCTGAGCTCTCCTGGAGGTCCCTTCATTGCACCAGTGCAGAGGGATGGAGCCTCCTGACACAGCCTGGGGGGCTCAGGATGAAAAGAAGGGGGACATTTAGGGAGAGGGCAGAAGTCTGGTCAAGGTGGGAGATTGCCAGAAAGAAGGCAATGGTCTGGGGAGCAGGGCTGGAGGAGCTGGTGGCTGATGCTGGGGAGCGGGTGCTCAGCCCTGCTGTGACCCAGCTGGTGACCTGTGCCTGGAGCTGGGGCCATTCCTGGCCACGCACGGAGCCCCCGTGATGCACAACTCGCCCAGCTGTGACTGTCACCACCCTGGGTGCTCAGCAGGGTGCCCAGCCTGGGGACCAGCTCTCCCAGAGGAGCCACCCGCGGACGGTTTGTCCTGTGGGACCTGGCTCACCCAGCCTGTCCTGTGGGGTGTCACTGGGCCACCAGCCACCCTGGGGACCCTTCCCTCGTGGCCACCAGGTGCTGCTAACGAGCCCCACGTCACCTCACCCTGTGCCCGGGCAGCAGGGCAGGGCCTGGGGTGCTCAGCAGGGCAGAAGCTTTTGCTGCTGCCTCTCAAGAGGAGGTTGGTTGATGACCCCAAGGGCATCTGCCGTGGTGCCCTGGGTGAAGGGAGGGTTGGGTGTCTCTCTGACCACATCAGGGGCTCCCCACCTCTCAGCTGGAAGCTCTGGGGAAGCAATGAGGCCTTTATGACCAACACCTGGAAAAGTGTCCTTCCCATCACTGCCATGCTGAGCAACCCTGCACCCAGGATTTCTGCACCCCCACCTTGCCCTGGACAGGCCCCTTCCCCCTCTTTGTCCTGCCTGGTGAAGGATGAGAGTATCAGGGTGCACCCTGCCCTGTTGGTGTGCACCTTGTCCCATTGGGGCTCACCCTGTCCCATTGGGGTTCACTGTGCCCCTCTGGGAGGGACCCATCTCATTGATGAGCACCCTGTCCTGCTCTGGTGCACCATGTCCTTCTGGGATGCACTGTGTCCCATCGGGGTGCACCCACCCCCCTTCTGCCCAGGATGGCTGATCCTGCCCTCGTGGGGAGGGACCCTGGGGCACGTGGAACATCAGCCCCACAGGACCAGGGCTCCCATCCCTCCTGGGGGTTTGGTGTTCTGGGCTGTGCTGGTGCCACCCCAGCACATTGTGCCACACTCCAGGGGTGCCCGGGGTGCCCCCCAAGCAGCCACGGTGGCTCCAGCGTC